ACACACACACACACACACACACACACACACACACACACACACACACACACACACACACACACACACACACACACACACACACACATCCCTCACTCACTCACGTGATTGGTCACGTTAATTTTGGTTGGGTTGCGTGCAAAACGGTGAGCATGCAACAGTTCGTTCAAAAAATAATCCGTTAATTAATTATTGCGTGCCACTGTATTCGTTAATATTGACCCCGGAGCTTTCGCGACTGATAATCGACGACTGACAATCGACGACAAACAATCGACAACCGACAATCGACGACTGACAATCGACGACAGACAACCGACGACTGACAATCGACGACTGACAATCGACGAACGTCGATTGTCAGTCGTCGATTGTTTGCCGTCGATTGTCAGTCGTCGATTGTCTGTCGTCGATTGTCCAACAGGCAACCGCTGGTTTGTGCTCGTGCATTGATGTTTACGTAACAAAAATTTTTATTATTGACGTTTCTGCTTATTATTCAAATGCTGCTCTGTTTGTGAATGTCAGCGCTCGCTCAAAGAAATGCGAGTTTTGAGGTTTGAGGCTCGCACAACCGCGTCGCGCGGTACCGCGCTCACGCACAATCAGCCACACGCACGATGTGATGCAAACAACTTGCGGGACCCGTCCAATTGATTCTGACTGTAATTCGAAAATCACATTCAAAGCAGCGTAATTTTTCCCCACCTTCAGTCGCGTATCATTCTGCGTTTGGGGAATCGAATAGAGACAGCGAATAATCGAAATCCCACGGCGTAGCCGGCCGGCTTCAATGCGCACTCCGCGATGCTGCTGCGATGCTGCAGTTTTTAACTGCTGGCAAGAGCGTGGGTGTTATACGAGGACAGCGGACTTGTCTCTAATTACAGACCACCCGCACGCAGCAGCTGAGCCGATAGTCCCGAGAACAAGTGCGGAGACGCTCGTTATCTGCCTATAGCTACTCGTGATCATGCCAGACAAACGTCGTCTCGTGTATGTGTGTGTGTGTGTGTGTGTGTGTGTGTGTGTGTGTGTGTGTGTGTGTGTGTGTGTGTGTGTGTGTGTGTGTGTGTGTGTGTGTGTGTGTGTGTGTGTGTGTGTGTGTGTGTGTGTGTGTGTGTGTGTGTGTGTGTGTGTGTGTGTGTGTGTGTAGTGTAGTGTGTGTGTGTGTGGTGTGTGTGTGTGTGTGTGTGTGTGTGTGTGTGTGTGTGTGTGTGCGTGCGTGCGCGCGTGTGTGTGCACTTCTCCCCTCGGTTACATGAGCTCACTCTCACACTCGCCTCCTCACACTAGCCTTCTTACTCGCTCCACACACACGCACAAACACACACACCACCACACGCACCACCACACACTTTCTTCTCTCTCTAGCTCCCTCTCTCTCTCGCTCTCTCTCTCTCTCTCTTTTACTTTCGCTCTCCCCCTCTCTCTTCGCCTCTTTCACGTTCTCTCTCACACTTTCTCTCCTACTTTCTCTCTCTGCCGCGGGGCCGCGCTCAACAACGTCTATACCCCGCTGTCTGGGAGCAGGCTGGCTGGCCATCTGTTTCAGCACTATGCACGGTTGTGATCTCACCGATTCCCAACACGCGGGTTCGTGCAGGATCACTCTCGCATGCACTGGTCTAATATATTTGACTTGCACGCATGAGCAGCGAGAAACGATAGAGCCTTCAGCTCGTTTTGTTTAACCTTTCGTTAAACGCACAACGTTCGATAAATTTTCTATTGCACGATTATCACGCTCCAAGGCATCACTTAAGTGGAAAGTCATATTTTACGTGAACCCTAATTACTTTTATTCTATACGTTGTCAAGCCCTTTAAATCTCTTCGTGCGATTCGCCATCTCTTGCTTTCCGCAATCGTTGGCCATAGTTCTAATCCTAACTGGAACGCTAAGTGTAACCCTAACGCTAACATCAACTCTTAACCCTAACCTTAACTGTAACCCCAACGCTAACATCAACTCTAACCCTAACCCTAACCTTAACCCTAACTGTAGCCCTAACGCTAACATCAACTGTAACCCTAACCCTAACTTTAACCCTAACTGTAACCCTAACGCTAAATCAACTCTAACCCTAACGCTAAATCAACTCTAACCCTAACGCTAACATCAACTCTAACCCTAACCCTAACCTTAACCCTAACTGTAGCCCTAACGCTAACATCAACTGTAACCCTAACCCTAACCCTAACCCTAACTGTAACCCTAACGCTAACATCAACTCTAACCTTAACCCTAACCCTAACCCTAACTGTAACCCTAACGCTAACATCAACTCTAACCTTAACCCTAACTGTAACCCTAACTGTAACCCTAACGCTAACCCTAACCCTAACTGTAACCCTAACGCTAACATCAACTCTAACCTTAACCCTAACTGTAACCCTAACGCTAACATCAACTCTAACCCTAACCTTATCCAGAACCGTAACCCTAGTCCTAGTCCTAGCTCTAGCCCTAGCTAGCCCTAGCCCTAGCCATTGCCCTAGCCCTTGCCCTAACCTTAACCTTAACCTTAACCCTAACCCTATCCCTCCCCATAATTTCCCCAAAATGTGACCCTAATTCCAACACTATCCCTAATCCCCCCTAAGCCTAACACCGACCATACCACGACTATGCAAAACTGATAATTCTGCTGCAGCGAATGTGGATGCGCTGGAAATACAAATAGATCATCTAGAACGTGCTTCCCTGAATACAAGTGACAGTGCTGTTTTAGTGACAGCCCCAGTACCTGTCCACCAGATGGAAGCACCAGTTCTCCCAGGGGTCAACGCCAGGTGTAATGTATGCTCAGACCTGCAAGTACTTGGATGCGGTCACTGCACATAGATGCAATCAGGGATTCATGTTCATTAATGCAAGCTCAGAGATTCAAACTCAGAATTGTTAACACAGGGAAGCAAACGCAAGGATAGAACTTCAGGGATGCAAACATAGGGGTGCTCAGCTCAGGGATATAGCCTCTCGGAGATGACATCAGAAGCCCCGGCATGCGGGTGCTGGCGCAGCTGGCATGCAGGCGCGTCCGCGTGTGCGCCATTCTTTACGTTCAGCATCGTTTTGCGTGGCATGTTGTGGAATGTGGTGAGGCATGGGCGTGTCAACTCTGTTACGACTATTCCGCCATTAACTGACACATCGCCGCAATGAGTAACAGTATGACCAGAGATCCTCAATATCATGTAGCAGATCAGGCTGCGACTAAACCCTGCGCCTGAATCTCATATAATAGATGAGGCCATGAGTGAATAATAATAGAGTAATTATTACTATTATTCACTCCTGATAAGGGATATCCACCACGGAACAAGTAGAGGTGGGAATCGGGAGCTGATGGCATATCGTGAACCACCATGATGGTCAAACTATGAGTAGGGGTAAATATTCAGAGGTGAAGACACGCTACAGGCCACTGGCAAACTGCAAGTGAGCGCTTGTAACGCGAGGGGATAGTACGCACCACGATCCCGAACTATACAAGCGAGGGTCGGGCTATATAGTAGGGCTGTCATTGATATGAAAATATTTCGATTCGATTATTAAAACATTTTTTTTCGATGTTTCAATCCGATTCGATCCGATTCATATAATATAACTAATATAATACTGTATAACATCAAACTCCCCCTCTTGTTAAAAACACCACATGCAGGGGAGAATATCCTTTCATAAGTCAGTAGAATAACCTATGAGGCGTAAGGTAACAACACTACAGCAAAACGGTTTGTTACTAATACTATTTTACTGTATCGGATCGCTATTCTGGATTTTTTTAAATATTCATGACGCAAATCCATTGAGATACATCGATGGCGTTGGTATCGATGACAGTCCTAGTATATGGCGTGTGTATATGTAGGGTGGTATATCGGTTCGTAGACAGTAAACGTAGATAGTAGGTGTAAACGGTAGTAACTTATAGATTTATTGTGAACACGGGTAAAATAATACACATACCAGCTCAGCTTCTCGTGGACGTCTCCCCTTCTACCCTAAAACTCTGTCCTTTTATCTGCCTCTCTCGTCACCGACCTGTTTGTGCGTTTATTGTCAAGGTTTGTTGCCCCCTTGACCGGTCGTCAGTGCCGTCATTAAGGTGTACCTTAATAATGGCTGGTCGACCATTTTAGCTGTGTTCTTGGGTAGAGTGAATGCGTCCGTACCATTTTATACTGCTTACTGTCAACGTAATTATGTGTTTTTAAATTATTATAAATTTATGTGTCCCGCTCTTAAGTAGGCGGGTTGTCTGGTCGGGCCATCGCCGGCCGTCTCTGAACGATTGTATGTTCTTTTTCTCTAACGTTTTCACGGTACCACATTTCACTACTACATATACATATGTTGCTGCTATACGCACCGAGACTAACGTGACTGCGTTGCTTCCAGAGCCGCTCCAGACTGCGGCGTCCCTCTCCCAGCCTCTCGCTGCAGCTTCTCATAAACTGTCCGTCGGTGAACGACGACATTCTCGCAGGTCGTCGTCGTCGTCGTCGTCGGTCGTCTGCGAATATCACGGCGAGGAAGCCAATTAGTAGCTCGCGCAGGTTTTTCCCGGCGAGCCGACACAGTTCGCCGTATCCACGCCGGGCCACCGTCGGCAGAAAAAATGCTCGAAAACACGAGGCAGCACAAAAACAAACACGAAGTCCCTACAGTATTTTTAATTGGTTCTTAGTTGTTGTTTCTTGCGATGTTATTCGCGCACACAAATTCCCTATACAGTCAACGGCCACAGACAGCACGATCAACGCAGAAGACTAGGATTAGTTCGAAATAGCATAAGAAAATTGCGGATCTAACGGAGTTTCGCACGCATCGTGTACCTGAGCCATGTATGTAGCATAATGAGAGTAGCCGAGTCCCGCAAACATACTCATTTATACAATTTCGTAGTATATCTAATTGATCGGAACTTTTCGTCTATTTATTTGTTTACTCGGGACTTCAATTTTTGGATTGATACGGATAATCGGACCGATCCGAACCGGCATTCGAATAAAAATAAACAAGGTTTGTGTGGAGAATCCTCTTACGCACGTCACAGGCCGTATTATTCGATTAGCATTCACGGATGAATTTAAGAAGCGGATGTTCAATACCCAGGATTGTTACGTAAATGTGTACTTTATCACCACATTCGACTCACTTGCGTTTAGGAAATCTTCAAATAATATCAAACAAAATTATAAATTGCCCTCAAAAACGTCGCCATGTCTAGAAAAGAGGATAACGTGTTCGAAGGAGAGTTCCTACTTACCTTGTTTAGGATAAAACAGGCAGCTAGATGCTACTGCATGCCATAGTAGGCAATCCCAAGCAATACGCTCGTTATAGAAATATCCGTTATACACGAAAGCTCGCCACTACATGAGACCTATCACAGACGCGTGTCGTGTATGCATTCATATTCTTGCTGTTGCTTCTCTCTCTGCTGCTCCTTCTTGCTTCCGCTCCTCATCCGCCCATCGTGCCGAGATGCGGTAAATCCGATCAGAAGACGAAATCAGACGACACGTCTTGGAATCCGTCCGACTATCGATGAGCAGCGAGAGATGGAGAGAGAGAGAGAGAGAGAGAGAGAGTGAGCGTTATCGTGTGTGCGCAGGCCCGGCCGAGCACGGTACGCGCGTACGCTAGAGAGGAGGAGGAGGAAGAAGAGGGAAAGGGGGAGGTGGTGGTGGTGGTGGTGGGGGGATTCTGCACTGAGCGAGTGCCGAGACGCCTGCAAGATGCAGATGCTGCTGATCGTGTTTCGCGCGACAGCAGCGCACGGCGACTGGAAGCTGCGCACGCACGCACGCACTCACGTACGCACGCACGCACGCACGTACTCACGTACGCACGCACGCACGCACGCACGCGGGAGCGGCGGCAGCAGCAGCAGCAGCAGCCTCGCGGCGATGCCAGCGCCAGGCGGCGAATGCTGCTGCTCAGCATCTTCCTTATCCGCATCCCCGCCGCCGGGCTTCACGGTTTCGCGGATGAAGCCGCGGCGACGACGGCAGGCGCTTTACGATCGCATGCTCGCTAGATTAATTGCGGTATTAATTTCACAGTTTTGCGGTCGGTTTCGCCATCATGCCGGACGCATGCGCGCGCGAGCTCGAGATCGGGGGATCGACGCGGCATTTTAACGCGGTCGTTAAATTAAAGGAGGAGAGCATCTTTAACGAGCATGCAACTAGTTTATAGCGCACACAGCACAGTTCTCTCCCCGGCTGAGTGTGAAACATCAGGATTTCCTCTTCAAGGAGATCGTGAAGGGGTTGGATGATGGGATGGCGGGAGGCAGGCTCTGGGTGGAGGAGGGGGGTGACATTCGAGCTGTGCTAGCTATATACTGCGTTAGCGTATACTGCTTACACGTCCATGATTCCGTTACTAGTGAACTTTTTTGTGCGAATGATATGAGCTAAATATCACTAATCTCACTAATTAGTGTTCACTAATTAGTGTTCACTAATTAGTGTTCACTAATCTCACTAATTAGTGTTCACTAATCTCTGTTAATGATCACGTCGAGACGCGATACCGAAATTTCGTTCTCATAAAAGTGTCGGTTACTCACGGCCCCACCAAGGTACAACTGAAATAGACGTAGACTTCCGGTAATGGCGCCCAGTGAATAAGACGTGTTATACATCGGCTCCCATATATTTTAAGAACGTTAAAGGAAAAGTATCAAGAAAATTGACATATTATGCGTGGAGCTAAGCAGAAGGTCTGAAAAATCTCCATGCACAACTACGTGACGAGGCAAAACAAAGAACGAAAGGAGACAGTGGATATTTCTATGAACGCTGAACCCGGCACTTCAGTTAGCATGGCTACTGCAATGGCGCACAACGATGAAGCCGGTGCCGAGGTCACGAACGCGGAGCTGCGAGAACTCATTGTCGGCCAAATGGCAAGTCTGAATAACAAATTAGAAGCGGGGTTTTCCGACGTCACAGACAATATTACCACTTTAACCGAAAAAATGGAAAACCTATGGATGGAGGTCGACTCGGTTAAAAAAAAACAGAGCGGAGATCGAGCACAGTTACAAAATTTAACACAAGAAGTCGTAACACTCAAGCAGTCGTTCCTCCATACGCAAGTCCACGGCAGAAAGTACAACCTCCTTATCTATGGAGTCGAGGGATACGAAAATAAACCAGCACGCACTATAGAAAGAATAAAAAGCTTTGCAGTGGATGACCTAAAACTGGAAGAACAATACGCGATGAATTTATCAATCCGCAACGCGCATCGCCTAAAGAAACGGGACAACGGACCCACACCGATAATCGTCGTTTTCGGATACTGGACCGAGAGAGAAACCTTTCTACGCGCGGGGAGAAACCTAGCCGGAACCGACAAGAGCATCAGAACAGATTTGCCGCCCGAGTTGAAACGAAAACGTTGGGTGCTGGCGCGTAAAGCTTTCGAGCTCCGAAGTGAACAATATATTCAAGCCAGGGTCGTAGAACGCGGCATCGATATCTGCATCGAAACAAGAAAAAACAGTACGGAGCCCTGGAAGAAGCTATCGGGAGACTGAAGAATTTTTGGCGAATATGTGCAAATACAATAGGCATGTATCCGTATCGTTAAAATCAGCGGTTCAATTAGCCCAAAACTACGAACATATCGAGTGCTTTTAGGGAGGCTCGGCGATCGAAGACGGCGCCAGCCGATCAGAAGCGCGGTCACGAATTTACTTCGGGGAAGCTAGATGATAACGGCTAACGTATGGAAGATAATAGTAAGGGCGTAGATAAATGCAATTATTATCTTTTAGTTTAATATAGATAATAATGCGAGCGAGCGAACGGGAGAGGAAGAACTCACTGCAGCACTAAGATATCACGAAGAAATCAACATCGGTGGAAAAAAAGGCGGAGACTCTTCTGAGGTTTACGTGTCAAACGCGCACGATGCCAGCCGGTCGGCAGCCGGTCGGCGTCGACGACAGCTGGATGCTGTAACCATGGCGATATCGCCGACCATGACGGAGCGCCGATGGCTTCATCAGAGCTTCATTTACCGCTCGGCGATCCCTCTGCTCGCTCCGCTGAATAAATATTGTAACCCGAATCGTGTTGGGCTTAATTCATCAAATTAGAGCTGAATCCCGGCCAGATGGCACCGCGCGTCGGCTGCCCGACACCCGTGTAGTCGTGTCGGCTGCCGACGCCACCACGCTCGTGGTTATGTGGTTAAATAGAAAAAATGTATTATCGTCGCGGTTATCAATCATTGATAGAAATTAATCAATTAATCAATTAATCAATTTTAAAATTGAATTTTCGGTAGTGTATTCGTTTTCGCGTCCAGCGCTTAAGACATTGCCGACACCTTCTCTATTTTCTTGCCTATCGTCGACACCGCTGATTTTTTAATGGTGTTTTGAAGGTCGCCGAAACCAGCTAGCTTAGCGGCGACCTTGGCTGGCGCGCTAGCGATAAATCTTCACATTGTTTGTTACTGTTAGGTTGAGTAACATGTTTTGATATGTACGTATTCCAATCCGCGTTCGCTCAGCGCAGCTCCCGTGTGTGCAGCTTGCAGGGGGAAACTAGCGCACTTTTTTACACACGACGGGGGGAAGCTCTGCAGATGGCCGGTGAGTGGATGGCGGGCGCGTTAAGCCTGCCGATTGAGAGATGGAGAGTACTGTAGCTGCTCGCACGCGTCTGTATAGCGTACGAAAGCAGTGACCGGCGGGTGCGAAACCTTACTCACCTCTACCGGTTCATCGCTCCCCACGTTCGTTCAGCAGCGCATATCTGTACATGCGTGCATTCCTTCGCTCCGGCTACAGCGCTGGCTATTCGTCCCGCAGTGCTGAGAAATGAGAATCTTAGCGCGCTGCCGCTATTTAATTAGAAGATGGCGGCGTACGTATATATGTGTGTGTTTTCCGTTCGTTTGAGTTCGATAAACGGCCCAATCTGGCCATATACGATCAGCCGAGTTTGATCTGAATGTGGCGGGCTAAGCTCGAGACGTTTCTGTCTTACCGGCTAGCGTATGTCTCTATTGTAGTTATAATTAGTTGTATTGGCTACAGCTAATTAGCCGGCCATACTGCAAGGATTCACTGCCATTTCCCTGTCGGCACTGTGAGCCGTACATAGCCCTGTAGCGGGAGCGAAGGTCTTCACGGGTTAATGTGCCTGCCACCAGAGATATCCCGTACGATTCACGTGCACGCGGGAGACAAGCACAGAAATATACACGCGCGCTGTCTATACAAGTAGGGACATTTCTCGGCACGTCGTCAGGTGGCGCTCTCGCTTGTCTATTGCCGACGTCCATCGGCGATAAAATCCCCGCTGGTCGATGCAGGGGGATATCACGTCACCGCCTTGCTAGATATAGACTGCAGATTGCGGATGTACATCGCGGGCCAGCACAGACAAACACACGCTGCTGGCGAGTGCGCACGAAGACGCTATAGACGTGAGTACTACGGCTTGGATGGTTTATCGATAGATGTTATTGCGCCCGTCGATAGTCTGGCTGCGATTCGACCTACCGTCGAATACTAGCCGCCACGCGCACACGCGCACGCACGCACGCACACACGCACGCACGCACGCACGCACGCACGCGAACGCAAACGCAAATACTCATTGCGCAAACACACGCACACATTCGCTTCCATCAGACAGACACACACGCGCGCGCACACACACGCACACACACGCGCGCACACGCACACGCACCCACACACACACGCGCGCGCACACACACGCACACACACGCGCGCACACGCACACGCACCCACACACACACGCGCGCGCACACGCACGCACACACGCAAACGCAAATACTCAGTGCGCAAACACACGCACACACACGCGCGCGCACACGCACGCACCCACGCAAACGCAAATCCTCAGTGCGCAAACACACGCACACACACGCGCGCGCACACGTATGTACAC